AATCAATTTCCCATGGTAGAGACAATGTCTGAAAGTAAAGTCTGTAAATATGTCTACTCGGAAATGTCCTGCCACCTACTACTCTTCCTCAACAGGCCCGCATTCATCCATATACACATGAACTCATGAACACAAAGACACGGTCACACGCACATACACAAATTCACATATACATGCACATCCCCCATGAAGCCTTCTAACGGAGGATGTAACTACATGGAAATGGATGTAGCAGCGCTGCTAGTCAAGAAAAGTCCTCCTACTGAAGCGTGTGGATATATGTCCTACAGACACAGTGAATGCTGTGTCAGGCTGTCCCAAAGGATGGTGTGACTCCCAAGGGCCGAAACCATAGATGCATGAGGGCCCCTGCTGGGCCTCTGGAAGACAGGATGAATGCCTCCCCGTCTCTGCTCAGAATCAATACCGAGGAGCCCAGAAGGGCCAACCCACTGAAGACCAAGACCCCCACTTTACAGTTGACGAAGACATGGAGATAATGGCATGGGGTGAGGGTTGGATGAGCCCACTAGAATGCCCCTGAAGTAAACTGACCCATTCCCCCACCCCCAAAAGCTGCTGGCACTCTCTGCTAAGCTAATCACCCAATGTTAATGCAAGCAGGTCTGAAAGTTCCTGAAGAGTCCCTTTTCCCAGAATAAGCAACCAGGTCAGATACTCATGATCTGAGTAAGAGGACTGAGAAGGGGATGGGGCTAGAAGCCAGGAGGACTTCTCCATGGCTATCTATTTACCTGAAAGACTGCATATGGGAGAGGAGTCTCTAAAGTCACAGCTCCCTTAAGTATTCCTCTCTACACGTGAGAGGACATTTCCGTCAGCTCGCTACCACACTCTGACGGCACTGCTGGAAGAGGCTGACAGGCGCAAAGATGTGCACTAGGCATTTTAAGGGGGTTCACTGGGCAGCTGTGTCCTCCCCATCTTTCCTCACAGTCCTCCCTTCCGGAGACTCTGGGCCCTGGGGATGGATTGAGATCAACAAACCTGAACATGTTTTGGTTTGAGGTTTGGCAAATTCTGCGACTCCAAAGTACTTCACAAATGTTTTGTGTTCTGCAAAACCAAAAAACATTGGCCAAGCACTTTTCCCTTAATTTTTAAGCCCATGTGTTTTTAAAGGAAATGTAATCCGTATGCTTTGGGTACATTTATATGCAATTCATCAAACCATGCCCCTCCGTATGACTCACTTGATGTTTAAAATGCACTGGAATGGTTTTAAATTTGTGAAAACACTCCGTTAGGGTAAGAAGTGCAATAGATTAGGCATGTTTGGAAAGTAGTAAACTGGGTTCAGAACCCAGTTTGGTGGCATAGAACCACCAAATATATACCAACCACTGAACTTGTATATATTTGCCTTGATGATAAGGAGCCTTGATGATGCTGTTGGGTAAGCATTAGGCTGTGAACCACAAGGTGTGAGGTTCAAACCCAGCAGCTGCTCTGTGGGAGAAAGATGAGGCTGTCTGCTCCTATATAGATTTACAGTTTTAGAAAGCCTACATGGGGTCACTATGAGTCAGAATCAACTCAATGGCAGTAGGGTTTGCTTGCAGTGCTTTGTTTTGGTGTGTGTGTGTATCTTCACACCCACATGTCTTCACCCATCAAATTTTCCCATCTACAAAATAGTGATAATAATCTCTGCTTTCCACAGATCTTAAAGGCAGTGAGTGAAAAGTCCTGTGTAATTAACATATAATTTTGAACTTTTAAGGAGCCTTGGTGGTGCACTGGTTTAAATAACCACGCAGTCGGTTTCAAACTCACCAGCTGCTTCCGTAAGTATGTACAGGCTTGGAACCACTACGGGCCAGTTCTGCTGTGTCTTGTAAGTTCAGTGTGACTCAGAATAGACTCAACAACAAAGGGTTCGGTTTGGGGTTTTCAGAGCTTTCAAAAGAGACTAACTATGAGGCATCTGTATTTAGGCGCACAAGCTTATTTTCATCCGGCTTCCCAAAGCACTCCAGGACAACAGTGACCTCTGTGTTTCATTATTCAGTAAATTGCCCCATGTGTGTGACACAGGTGACCCTAGTGTCATGACACCATCATGTTCACCTGCCAGGGGAGTTCAGCCTAAGTTCCTGTGCTCCAGTGAGCCCTTATCCTAATCTGTAGCTGCCAGTGCCTCCTCAAGGTTCCACAAATACCCCTTACACACTGGCTGGTTTCTCCCCACTAGAACCAACGACCTTCCCATCTTGCAGGACCACCATCCTATCAGGAAGACCATCCCTGCACAAATTATAAAAGTGCTCTGATGCGCATTCAGCCTCCTAACCTGATTGATTTTTCTTCTCAGCACTTATCAATAAATGGCATATTTTTAAGAGTTGGCATAAGGATGGCAAATGGCACCCAAGCACATCTGGATGGCTAGTTGCAAGGACAGGTGCCTACCGGTGGGAAAGCGCTCAGTGAGGGCTCAGATTCAGCGCGAGAAAAACTAACAGAAACTGGGAAGAAGAAGGACTCCATGGGGAGGGGGGGTGCAAAAGAGAAAGACAACAACCTCTGTAGTGCCAAGAAGAAAATAAAATATTATTGGATGCTACTAGGATTACAGAACGAAATCGAAACGAATATGTGTACGTAGTTGAAAGCTGAAGTCAGTGGTGCGGAGCCTTGCCGACAAATCGTTGCAGGCAGAAATTTGCCTTAACTTTGGGTTGTGGATCCATTAGAAAATCTGAATAAAGTTTTAGAACTCGGGAAAAAATGCGCACCTATTCAATCACAGAAGTGCTAACCAAGCCCACTACCATCAAGTGGATTCTGACTCATAGTACTGTTGTAGCAGTATTTCTGAGAGTGGGGATACCACCCCCTGGGGGGTAGGGGAGGAAGTCTGGAACAATCCAGGGGAAAAAACTGACATGAGTCAAAGTCAACTCAGAGCGACCTTGTAAGGACAGAGTAGAACTGCCCCTGTGGGCTGCCAAGACTGAAAATCTTTACAGGAGTAACAAGTCTCATCTTTCGCCCATAGAGCAGCTGCTGGTTTCGAACTGCTAACCTTGCAGTTAGCCACGTCATGCATAGCCAACTTTACCACCAGGACGTATCCTGGAATAATCCAGGGGGCCTACAAAAGCAGGTACAGGCAACTGTATCCTGGATTATGCGCTACAGTACAAATGTTCCCACTGTCAGGGGAGCACTAAGTAAATGTATTTGTCTCAAAGGGGGGCTGTAAGCCACATAAGTTTGGGAACCTGTGCTTTGTAGGCTTTCAAGATGATGAATCTTTATAGGAGTCAACAGTCCCATCTTTCTCCCTGGAGTGGCTGATAGGTTTGAACTACCCACAGCAGCCCAATGTCTAACCCAGAGAGCCCCCTTCACCCATCCAGGGGCTCCAAGTTTAAATGCCCTGGCTACTCATGGCTGCCTTGCAGAAACAGCCTATCTTGAATTTCCTGTGCCAAAGAATCGCATCAAGGCAGGTCTAGAGACTTCTTTATGAAAGGCCAACTTTTCTCCGTGCCTTACCACTAACACAGTCCTCAGTCAGCTCGGAGGGAGAGTTCCGAAGCTCTAGTGTGGCTCTACCACAGACTCGTGGCTTGGCCTAGAACACAGTACTCCAATTTGTCATCTGTAAACTGGGAGAGTCAGCTTTACTTTACTCAGTAGATGTGGCCTTAAGACATAATGAGGTAAATCAAATTTGTAGAAAGCAAGCTGTGCTGTAAGTTTTCTAAAGAAACGCTATCACTCAAGTAGAAAAAAAATTGTTTTCGAAATGTTGGTAGCAACATAAGTACAAATGTGCTTAATACTACTGAATGATGGATTGCTATAAGATTTGTAAGAGCTCCCCAATACATTAAAAGAACCTATCATAAATGTTTTTGTAAATGAAATGACCACATCTGATTTTTTTAGCATAAATCTGAATTCTAATAAAATTTACTCTATATTTCATGAAATGAAGTTCTATTTCAAATGTAAAATGAGCCAGTTTATCTAAAAGCACTTGTAGAAAAGTGATTGAATGTCATCTCTCTTGTCTAGCAGTGTATCTTCTGACAATCCGAGTAATTTAATGATAAAGAAATGCCTGAAAGCATTATAAACAACATTAGATTAAGTGTTTACCACAAGCTTATGTACAATGTAAGACACAAAGATCACATTTGCTGAGTCAGTGACTGCTGGTATAAAATGCAAGCTTCTGATTGAAAAACTTTAGATATCATTGGTTCTCTGGCAATTTTGGTTTCCGCTAAAGTTTTTGTAGATAACAGATTTCCACGTTAATGTAGAAAGGGCACTACAGTAGAAGGATCCAGAAAGAATTATCAGCTAGTAATGCACCACAGTCTCTAAGGCCATCTACTACAAGGGCTAACAGTCCCAAAAATCTCAACAATTCCTGAAAATTCCATGCCATGCAATAACAACCTAACCGTAATGACAATCTTGAGTCACCGAGAAAGGGTTCCACGATGCGTTCTATAAACACTCTGTAGGAAAGCAGGAAGCATCTAGTATATTTAGTAAATATTTCCTAGGGGGGGAAATGACGAGTTTTGAAATAAAAGTTTTGCTTTTAAGAGTAAGAATCCTCTTAAAATTTGTATTTGTCCACAATCCCTTGTTTCCTAATAGTGAAAAATAAATGAGGTGTCATTTGAGGTGCTAGAGATGCTACTCAGAAGAAGAAAAACGATCTTTTAAGTCTACAGAACGTGTTCTCCGGAGTTCGTGACCAAGTGGGAACAAATGGCAGGCAGCTGTAGTGATCGTTCAAAGAGTGCGGCTTTGGGAGGCGACCTGTGGTCCTTCAGTCAGCGACCCCTGCTCTCTGTCGGAGTCACAGAGCATCACAGGGTGCAGGTGCGGCTCAGTTTGGGTTTGCTTTCAACAAGCAGAACTCAGGAGCAAGCGCCCAATGAGGTTTGGGACAATAGTGTGACAGCGGGAAAAAAATATCAGTGGCTGTCTTTCCCAATTATCCTTACCTGTTCCTCCCGGAATCTCTGAATCCTTTGGCAAATGGGTTTCGGTCAATTTTTAATCTGGTGATCTGAAAACAAACCAAAAACATGAACTTAATTTATATTTAGGTCACCGGTTGGTGCACAGGATCTGTGCAGGACTACGAATATAAAGTTTGGCTGTCTAACCCACTCAGAGGCAGTGTTCAAGAAAACTTCCAAGCAAAAACATTCCGTTTTACTCTGAAACACACAGGGTCACCCTGCATCAGGAGAGAGGCCACCGGAGATGGTTTGTTAATTTCCTCGCTCACCTGTATGTTGGTTTTTATATGTGTATATTACTGATTTATTTTTCAGTTATTCCTTGCAAAACAAAAACCATCCTGTTAATAATCACTGTTATTTTCATTTCATTTCCTTTAGTTTGACATTTAAATTGAAATTTCACGTGAGACTCAGGCCAGGCACATAAATGCCTGACCCACATAGATCGCTTTAAACACCAAGGATGGCCCAGCCAGTGACTGCATAAACTCATTTCTTTTCACTTTCCTTGTCTCAAAACCACACACACACACACAACAAACCAACTGCCCTTTCCTTGATTACAACCCAAAACAACATTGTAGGACAGAGTAGAAGTGCTCCTTAGGGCTTTCAAGACTGAAAATCTTTACAGGAGTGGGCAGCCTCATTTTTCTCCGTTGGAGCAGTTGATGGATTTGAACCTCTGACTGTGGGGTTAGCAGCCCAGCACGTAAGCCACACAACACCAGGGCTCCTTCCTTGCCTTAAAGTGGTGATAAATCGCTTGCCAAGATAAAGGCTGCAGTGGGGAACAGGGAAACGATGGGGCTCTCTCATACAGGACACCTGGGAAGCACTTAGCATAAGGAGCAAAAGACCACCAAACTGTACATGGGAGGATTGTTGACATGGCAAATGTCTTCTTATCTATACATCTACCAGCATTAAAAAAAATAATTTCAGAAAAGCTTCATAAAGCAGCTAAAAAATTGATAAATAAGCCCATGCTGGTAGAAATAACTGACTGAATAAGTGAATTCTAAATAAAAGAATGAATTAATTCTGTCAATTCAATCAGTGTGAAACCCTAGGGAGAATCAGATCACCAGACAATGTGTCTCACCTGAAAGATTCAAATAATCTCCATTTCCCTTGGCTGGGCCTTCCTTGCCACTAAAACTTGTTCCCTGAAAAGCTCATGTAAAAGACCCAAGAAGTAGCTAGACTTTCCCTGGGTTTTTCCTAAAGGAACATCTACAAACACATGACTAGACCCAGACAAGATCCAGCACACCTCACCCAGGCTCCACAGTTTACAAGCAACTCAAATGACACAACAAGGCAGCTTCATAAAACTGAGCACCCAGCTGTGCCATCTGGGCTGGATAAGTCCTCAACGGCCACCTGCTTGAACCTCCACTCAAGTGCCCCTCTGTGGCATCCTATCTTAGTCCCACCAAGCTTTACCTTAATTGTATGTAATAGCCTCATGCCTCTAGACTAGAACAAGCCTGACCAATAAATTCCATATGTGTGCTAGTGTTTCCGCTTTCAGCCTCGGTCATGGGAGGCATGTTGATCAACCTTTGTGTCTGAACCAGATGTTAATGACTCACTACATTCAAGCAATCGAGACGGGGGTACTAGGCAGGCCGGGAAAGGAAAGGCATGCTTGATGGAATGTAACTCTAGAAATAAGGGAATCTCATTACTTAAGACTATCTTCATATTTCTGATAATTACAGACCTTAGCTCAGGGACAGCAAATGTTGTTTCCTATATGGCAAACCTTTCCAAGTCCCTCTTCCGTCTCACTTCCTCAGAGTGGAATTTCCCAAAGCCACAGTCTTTGAAAGTCTTTAAAATGCAATGTGAGATTCTGACAAACAGACTCTGGCTTGAAAGAGCCATGCTGGCTTCAAGGCTGTTTTTCTCGCAAGACATTCCTTGTCTCCAGAAAGGCACACTAATAATGTAGCAAAAGCAATTTTACATCGATTTTATAGACCGGAGCAGGAGCCCGAAGGTTTGGCTTTCTAACGTCCAGCGTCTGCCATGTGAATGCTGTATTGAGTTTAAAGAGCGTCGCTGCTTTTCTGTGTTTGACTGGAAGTCAGTTCTTTCTTCCTCCATAATCCGCAGCAATAAACCACACACCATATTTTCTTTTCAAGTCCGGGTTATAATATTTTATTTTCTCTTTCAAGTGGGGTTAGTCTGTCCAACTCATTTATGATAGGAGTTGCTGATATATGATTGTGCTGCCACGTTTTGGGGGCCTCCCCAGACCACTATAACTATAATGACATTCTATATCACAGGCTTGGAAGAAACGGTTGAAAACTTGTTTCTCACAGCTTACTGGATCCCAAGCCAATGGGTCTTACATAAAAATATAATGGGCAGACGCCACCAAATGTAAGGAAAATAATGCTGCAGCTCTATACTTGTTTCAAAGCATCCAATGCGAGGCCCAGAGTGCTTTATGCAAAGTGTGGTTGTGCCCCCCATTATTCATGATCGAGTGTCCTCACCAGCTATGGGACTGGCAGCACAGGAGACACAGAATGTGCACAGTCCATTTTTTTCCCTCTTAGGTCTTCCGATCTAGAAGACCAGAGCAGATGTACACACTCATTGTTGCAATAAAAAACAAAGAGCAACGAGGCTCTCAACAAAGACAAATGCCACAGGAACTTAGAAGAAATAATAATGCTCCGTCTCCAAGGAATCTGAGATGTTACATTGCAGGTAGCATGAGAGCAAGGTCTTGGAGGAGGTGTGGGATTTTAACAGATTTTTTTTAATGCACAAAGGGGACAGAGGGACGAGGGAAGCATTTCATAAGAAAGACCCCAGAGCATCAAAGGGAGAAGAAGAAAAAAGGCTACTCATGAAGCACCGAGGGGTCCACATTGGCCAGAGCACAGGGCCTGGGACAAGGAGCAGTGAGCAAGAGAGACTGGTTTGAAGCCCTCAAGCATTCTGATTACCTTACAGGCAGAGAAAGGAGCCCTCTGGCGACAATGGTGAAGCGGGCTTTGCTGATAACTGGAAGATCAGTAGCTGGAACCTACCAGCAGCTCTGTGGGGGAAACCACCTGGGGATCTGCTCGCATAAGGATTACAGCCTTAAGACTCTGGGGGCAGTTCTTCTCTGGCCACTATGGGTCAGCCCTGTGCTAGAACGGATTCCGTGCCCCGCCCTCCCCGCAACATAGGCAAAGGGAGAAATCTTAGCTAAAGAAATCAAATTACGATCCCAAGTAATGTTTGTGGCGACTACTCTGGCTGTGTCTACAAATGCCAATGTCTATAAATACAAATGTACTGGGGACAATATTTTGGAGGAGTAAACCAATGTATTTTCAATCTCAATAATCTTTAGTTTCTTTCTTTTAAAAAAA